CCACAGCACACCGTCACCACAACGCACCTGCGCCCACGCTTGAAGCCGGCCGGCGTGCGCCGCAGCCGCGGCGTCGCGCGCCACCAGGTGCGCCTGGCGCGGGACGAACATGACCTCCAACGGATCCAAGGGGACGCCGTCATACAGCCAGTCGCCCTGCTGCGGGCTCAGCCTGCAGTCGGATTGTTACGGGAATACTTGACGCGGGCACATGAGAGCGCAGACAATTACGGTGCAGGATTGACGAGGGGCGGCCGCGCCGGCGCACCAGTCACCGAGGCACCAAGCGCCGCCAGCAGCGCTGCAGGCACAGGCTGCAGGCGGGGCGTCCCTCGTGTGCGACAGCGGGCTACGGGCGGCCATTGCAGGCGCACCCTGCGTTGCAGTGCCAGTGCTGCGGCTCGCGCACCCAGTTGATGCCTTGGTACCGCTGCGGCAGGGCATGCGCGAGGGGAGAGGCAGGGGCGCCGGCTGCCTGGAGCCAAGACAGTCTTCACTTGCATTGCAGTGCTTCAGGGCAGCTAGACAGGCGCGCCAGCATGTGGACGCTGGCCACACAATAAGATTTTCTTGCAACGTGTATCAGCATGCGTGCTGATATGATCTTCGTACGTGTGCGCGGGCAGTGCGCCTTGCAGCCGCGTCCAACGAGCGCGCCCCAACCTTTTAAGCACCCGGCGCCGCGCACTGACCAGCATGAGGGAGTCAATCGACCACCCGCGCTGCAGGACCGCCTCCGCCGCCGCCGCCGCGACGTGGTGCTCCGCGACCGCCGCGCTGGCGTAGCAGCCGAAAACGCCGCCGCCGCCGCCGCTTCCGCCGCCATCGCGCCGCCCACCTTCCCGCAGCTCCCGCTGCTGGGCGGCCCCTGTTGGCGAGGCGCCTCTGGCACCCGGCGCGCCCTCCTCGTCGTTGAGCGCCAGGAGGAAGCGCAGGGCCTCAGCATCCAGCGCCACGGCTCCGAGCTCGGGATGCGGCACCCGCCGGCTCGACCCGCCCGCGCCCGCGGCCGTCGCCGCCGCGGGTGCGCCGCGGCCGGCACCGGGCGCGCGCGTGCGCGCGCAGCTGATGGTGGGTGACACGATCCTGGCGTGTCCGTCCAGCTTCCGCAGGAAGGGCGTCAGCCAGTGCAGGCGCCCCTGCGGGCGTCCCGGGCGCGAGCGTGGGTCTGTCAACGTTCAGGGTCTTGTGACGGGTGGGCACGCAGCCGGGCCCTGCCGTCACGGCAGCCTGTGCCAGACCGTCTGGCGGAGGCTTGGGTTTGCATCGACGCCCCAACCCCTGCCTGCTGCTCTTCAGACAGCAGGGGCATCAACGATAAACCTTGTTTCAAAGGTAAATGGCCCCACACAGGCACACCTGGACGTAGCGCGGGAGGAAGGGGCCGGCCATGGAGGAAGACAGGAAGACGAGTGCGTCATACGCTGCAGCCGCCCCCGGGTCCCCTTCCTGCAGGTACCAGCCAAACGCGCCCCAGCCGTGGGCGCACGCGGGCGCGCCGGCCACGTAGCGCGCGTTCGCGCCGCTTGGCAGCGGCGGCAGCGTGCGCGCCGCCGTCTCTGCTGCCGCCGTGCGCGCAGGGCTGTCGCCGCCCTCGGCACCCGCGTCCACGGCGGTATCCGCGTCCGCGCTCGCACCGGCGGCGGCAGCGGCGCTGATGGCGGGGGGCATAAGGAAGACGTAGTGGACGGGGCCCGGCGCGGCTGCAGGTACGGCCGTGGACACAAAGTGGCGGAGGTTCTCAAGGGCAGTGGTGTCGCTGAGCGATGCCACAGAGTACAGTACCAAGGTCTTGCGCCGCCCTGCCAGCGCCACGAGGCGCGCGTCCAGGCCCGGCAGTGGCGCGGGCCCAGGCGGCGAGGGCGCCGCCGGCGGGCTTAAAGACGCCGCCGAGGCGGACGATGTTGCAATAAAGATGGCAATTGCGGCCACTGCTGCTGCTCTTCGTGGCCGCATAGTGCTGCGCGGCAGCTCCGTCGCAGCTGCCCAAGCGCCTCGGGGGCGCGAAAGCTTCGGGACCTCGATGCAAGTCAGCTGTTCATCTGCCGATAAAATTCTTCGGTATCAAGTGTTTCTATTGGCGGCGCTAGATCGAAATAGCGCCCAAAAGCGAGGATGAAGGCTGCCTCGGAGCACGCCGGAATACGGGAATAGGCACTCTACTATATGGGACGGCCGGATTCTGTTGCGAGATAAACGCATATAGATTATAGTCACGTTGGAGTGTATAGCTGTGTTGCTTCCAATGTTTTGAGTTTTGGCGGTGCCGCTGGACTGACGCGCCGTACTGCTGAACTGCCCATGGTACTCAGAGATATGGCTGTTTGCATGTGCGCGCCAATGGGTGTGGATCAGAAGTCAAGACAATTGAAGGCATTTATTACACTCACGAGTGCGTTGCATGCATGGCATGCACAAACGTACACATCTGGGCAGCATCTTGCACTGCCGCAGAAGTGGCACGGTGCGACAACCAAGCGCCGTAGCGCGACCGCGCCGCGCTGCCGTTGCCGGCATTGGTGGTCCTCGTTGCTTGGTTCCTGAAAGGGTCGCATGTCATTTCGTTTGAGAGCGCCCAGCAGAGAGTGTGTTGGCGTTGCTGGCCCAGGTGTGTTGACCTGTGCATGCGTGCATTCCGGACAGGTTTGTCCCTCGCAGTCCTTGATCTCTCAACGCTTGCCAAGGCTGGCGGCAGAGCTGATCTTAACCGGGAGGAGCATGCCTGGAAGGGGGGAAGGTGGTGCAATTTCTCAGCATTTGACAACTGGGCTTGACGTTGAGCAGCATCCGCCAACCCCTGTTCGCCACCACCGTGACACCCGCCAGCTGCAAACCCCGCAGACAGGGCGAGTCCAGCCACCGACAGCGGCCCCGGCTCGCGCCGCTTGCTCGGCCTTGCCAGGACCTTTCGGGCCCTGCAGGGAACCTGTCGCCCTGACCCCCGCCCTCCGCCTCTATGTGAGCGCCCCTCTGCGCACCGTCGATGACCTGCAGCACGCCGTTGTTGCCCGCCAGGATGTTGGCCTGCACGATCTTGGGGGACGACCCGGCAGACTGCAGGAAGACGTTGGCGCTGCAAGGGCGCGCGGTCAGCGGCGGTAGCGGGGCGCGTGCGTGAAAGGGAGGGGATTCAGCACCACAAACTAGTTCGCCGCGCTTGTGTGTGTGTGAGTGCACGCGTGTGTTTGTGTATGTGTATGTGTGCATGTGTGTGTGCGTGTTTTTGTGTGGGGAATGTGGGTATGGGTATGGGTGTGGGTGCGCACACACGCGCCATGCGTGTCATGCGCTCGTGTGATTTGTGGGTGATGTGACGTGTTCCTTGGTGATCAGCAGCCAGATGCCGGCAAGCCTTGCCTTGCATCCTTTGGGGCCATATAATGCGCACGCGACACACCCGCCGCATAGCGCCCACCCCTGCCCACCCCGGCGGCGCGGGCGCTTCGCCCCTGCAAGGGCCACCTACCCGTCCTTCTTGACAGTGAGGGTGCCCGCGGTGCCCGCCAGGCGGGTCGGGATTTTGGTGCCGTCTGTCATCTTCTGGGTCGTCCACGCGCCAGGCGCCAGGTGTAGGTTCTGTGAAATGAAGGTTCCGCGGGGCCAGGGCAGGGTGGGGGCGGCGGGCGCGTTTTAGCTGCCGGCGACGCGCGGGGGCAAGCTCGAGGCTCCATGGACCCCCCAGCTGCCTCTCCGACCGGCCCCTGCTGGTTCGGTCCCTGGGTGCGGCTCCCTCGCGTTGGACATTCAAAGAACCTCAAGGCACAGCCCAAAAGGCCGCGCAAGCTGCGTCGGGGTGCAGCTGGGCCTCCATAAAGCCCCCGTGGCGCGCCTCCTTGCTGTTGCAGGGCAGACATGCGCATCCAGCACTGACCTCTGAATTAATAATCTCACACGCTTTGCTGCAGTCTGGGTAGGCGAGCTCGCAGCAGCATGCCCCAGCCCCGTTCGATCCTGATCCGACCTCCCACCCGCAAGCATGACCTCACCAAAGCCTTTCTTCCCCTCCGCTGGCGCAACCCTCTTGCCATCCCTGCAGCCATCCCTGCAGCCATCCCTGCAGCCATCCCTGCAGCCATCCCCGCAGCCATCCCCGCAGCCATCCCCGCTGCTATCCTGCAGCTGTCCCCACTTTGGCATTTCTCGAGCTCCTGCCACCCCGCCCCCTCACCACGACCATCTGCAGGATCGCCTTGTTGTTCATAAAAGACCTCACATCAATACCAGGGATCTTCACGTTGAGCATGGACTCAAACGCTGGGTTTAGGGGGCAGATAGCACATGTGGGACGAGCGAGTCAGGGAGAGGGCATGGGTGGGAAGAGAGGTGATGGCGGTCCTTGGTTGCAAAGAGCGCCCGCCGCACCGACAGTCCCTCCACGGTCGGGAAGAGAGGGGAGACGCGTCCCTTTGCAACAGCACCCGCGTGGCCGTTGATAGAGTTGGTACGGGCGCGTGTGCGCGCACCGGCGTTGGTAGGGGCAAAGACAGTGTAGGGCGCGAGGCCGGGGTTTTGCAGGGCGGCCAGGGTCTGGCCGGAGCCGACAAAATTGGCCATCGAGCTGAGCTGGGGGTTGCTCTTGATGGCTGCCCAGAAGGTGGCTGCCTTCTGGGCATGCGCCTGGCCTGCAGCGCGGCGGAGTGCATGTGGGTGGGCCACGCCTCGCCACTGCTTGGCAAGGATAGTGTTTGATGATTGCCAAAGCGATAAACCTTGATGAGATGTTTTGCAGATTGAGAGCGCTGCTGGGCTGGCCATGGAATGGCTGCACAAGTGGCTGTGCACTGAGGCCGCAGCAGCGGTAGCAGCAACGCAGCGGGCGTCACCGGGCCGCACTGCTCACCAGGCATGCATGCTGCCACCACTAGAAGCGCGACTAATTTGCAGGTGATATGCGACATGATTGCCCGCGTTGCAGGAGGCAGCCGTCCGTGGCCACTCTCAGCCTCCGATATGAGTGCTGGGGGCGGACGTCCGGGGAGGTGTGATGGGGCGATTGCAGATGCCAAATACTTGTGAATGTAAGAAGCGTTGCAGACTATCGTAATCAACTCACCGAGGCTGTGTTCACAGTCACCCTGGCAGCAAGTGCCCCCGCTGACCTGCCTAGCACAAGCAGCACCAACCAGGCAGGCCGGACCGCATCAGCAGTGTTCACTCATACACGCACGCCTGCCCCCAGCCATGATGAGCTCAAAACTGCTTTACTTGCGCTCATGCACAAGCATATGATAAGCCCAGCTCGCGCAAGTGTGCATGCATTTTGGGCACGTGGACTGGGCTGCACCGCACTGGGCGGCCAGCCTGCCTTTTGCTGCTGCAAATGACGGGTTGTATCGCGTGCCCCTTGGACAAGAAATGTCTGCCGCCGCAGCCGCTCATGTGTACCGTTCTCGCTCACGCCTCGGACTGATGTTCATGAAGCACCAGGCGGTGGCGCCTGTCTGGTTTGTCTTTGCAGTGCCTTGGTGGCTGAGCAGACCAGATGGATGGAATGGGGGCCCCGCAGAGACAGAAGCGTAGCATCCCCCCGAGACGCATGCCGATGTTCCTTGTACCCTGACAGACGGCCTGCGCTGCTAGTCGTCGACCTCTAAGCTGCATCAACGGGGCAGCTGAACACCTGCCACGCAGGGGCACTTGGTACCGATGCAGACACGTGCCTGGAGGTGCTGGGAGCGCTGGGAGCGCATCCGACTGTTGAGATAGCTTCATCACTTACCTTTCTGAGCAACTTTGCATGGCAAGTGGCAGGGTTTAAGCGGAGGTGCGGGCCGTGTGGAAGCCGTCAACTGGCTCTGCTCCCGACGCGCAGCGTGACGGTGCACCGGAAACCAGACGTAATGCTGGCCTACACTCAGAAGACAATCTGCCTCATCCGAGAATACGTCAACTCACTTTCTTTCTCATGGGAGGAAGATGCCACGAGCCCAGCAACATTGACAATACGATAGTGACCAGCTGTCGCCATTACACCCAAGCCTGCGTGGCAGGTTTGCGACTGCTTAGCTGCATACGAGCGCATGTAGCAAGGCAATCAGAATCAAAGTCCTAAAAAAAACAGAACCCGGGGCTTGATACGGTAATTTGGCATGTGCACGCGGAACATTGCCGGCATTTTCGGTGGCTCGGTGGCTGTTGCCTGGTGACATTGAGTTACCCCGACCATAGATGCCGGCATTCTCTGCATTATACGCCATAGGTGTCGGCTATTTCATCAGCGCGGAACACTCGCAACACTGGCTGCGACACCCGCGTGGAAGACGGACACACCGTCTCGTTCTTGCAGGTCCCGTGAGGGCTGTTCAGCATGGCTGGAGGAATATGGATGATATCCTTGCTGGCCTTGACCGCTGTCGCTTTGCTGGCGGGTGGAGCGCTCGGACAAGGTGCCCTACCCCCAGACGGAGACGCAGCGTCTCACATGGGTCCGAGACGTGCTTGCTTGCCGCTGCTCAGCACGTGAAGCGCCATCTGCAAACAGATTGAGGCATTTGCACATGCGACAAGGCCAAGCACAAGGTGTCAACGTTCATTACGCCGAATCTCCACCCTTCGCCCTGCCCTGCCTGCCACAGCCGCCGCTGACACACCTACCGTGAGCGGCCCCCTCCCACGCGAACTCCCTTTTACCTGCCGCAGTCGTCGTGCCTCAGTGCTTCCACACCAGGAACCTGCCAACCGAGTCCGACCCCTGCAAGCACTCCTTCGACGCCGCCTTCTTGCACGGCTCCGTGCTGACTGTCCAGGGGCTCACCGCAGCCGGCGCCAACGCCACCTTCACGCGCGGCTGCCTGCCGCTGTCCACGACGCGCGGCTGCAACCCGGCGGGCTCCCTGTGCTGCGCGGATGGTGCTCCCAAGGCGCCGCAGGCGTACGAAGTCCAGCTTTTCACCAGTGAGCGGGCGGCAGGCAGAGCCTGCTTCCCTATAGTGCGCGCAAGAGGTGCCAGCAGCAGCGGGTATGCTGCGCCCGCGCCGGCCAGCAGCGGGGGTGTCTCACCGACTGACAGACAACCTCAGGCATGCTGGCCAGCGCCTTGATTTTGTGCCACAGCCCACGGGCCCCCCCTGCCTGCACGCTCACCCCCCCCCACCCACACACACACACGCACGCACGCACGCACGCGCACACGCGCACACACACACACACACACAC